TACCGGCGCAAATCGATTTCCATGATATCGGACAAGTACTCCTCGAGGCCAGTGCCTCCATGGTCCAGTACATTTGGCTCCGTAGGACACCCGAGCAGCCAGGCCTTGGTGCCGTCTTCGTTCATGGTGCAATAGTGCCAGCGATATCCGGACTTGAATATCTCCCGGCCGTCGGCCAACTTCTGCCATCGGAGAGATCCCAGGTCGAGAGCGGACAAGGAGCATTCCTTGGACGAAATTGTCGCCGCCGGTGTAACAAAGTCTAGAAGGGTACCTGACGAGTAGACATGGAAATGAATGCCCTGTCCCTGCGATGGCACGTTGGGACCGTTGACAAACTTGAGAGCCGAAATAGCACCGGGTGCAGGAGGAGCGTAGGTCTTGAGATGGAACGACGGGGGGTTGACTTGCGCAGTCCTCGAGTTTGCGGCATACCCAGACGACCCAACAATCGGGGATTGTGCTGCAGGGTAGGAGGGCCTTGGCGAAATGGCGCTTCGAGCCATACCGGAACGATCCATCGAGCCAATCTGCGGGGGTGAATCGAAGGCCGGACTTCCCTTGAGATCTAGCCACCAGATGTCGCTAACCTTGTCCATCTCCTCGCTGAGACCCCCGAATACCCATACCCTTTCACCCCATATATATGCTGAATGATCGAACCGGCCCACAAAACGCCAGGATCTTGACCAAGTGAACGTCTTCAGGTCCAAGTAGCAGATGTCGTCGAGAACGTAGTTGTCGTGACCCGTAATCCCGCCAATGATGAAAAGCTTGTCTTGGTGTAGAACGGCCGCATGTCTTGCGCGACCTTTGGGAATCGGTCCTGTCACTTGTGGCTGGGTCCAGTGTGCGGTTTTGAGATCGAAAATTATGAGGTCGGATAGATAGGTTCTGTGTTCGTTTTCGCCGCCGAACACCAAGAGTTTGTCTCCCTTATACAGGGTCGCAGTATGCCCTAGCGGAGAGATCTGTTAGCCAGGCTCAAGACGAGCAGATATGGCACAATATAAACAGGTGGACCAAGTAACACTAACCCATTCGAACGCCAGGAATGTCACCATAGTTGTCAACTAGGCTCCACTGATGACTGACCAGGTCCAGTTTCAACACATGATTGTAGACCTCGTCTGTGTATTGGTCGAAACCACCGAAAGCGTAGATTTGGTTGTTCCCGCAGTAGGTGACGGATGCGTTGACGAGACAGGCAGGACGCTGTCCAAGGGTCCGGGTGACTTTGGGACGGTACCCATCACCACGGTTTTTGAAGGGAGAGTTTGGCATGATGTAGGTATTGTTGGAAGAGGCAGCCGAGGCTGGTGTGAGAGTTGAAGTCGTCATGGACGAGGGGATCGCAGGTTGTCCAGCGCCGGACATGACTGGGGTTGGACCACCGAAGATGGAGGGGGAGTGACCTGCGGGCGTCGAAGGGTGCGCCATAGCTGCGGATTTTTTGACACCTGTCGGCCTGTCGCCTGTCTGGGGGAGATGCTTTGACGGATGCTTTCGTGGGCTAGGTGTCGCGCTATTCAAGCATGAAGCATGAAGCGTGAAGCGTTTGGCTGTCGCAATCGACTTAATCCCACATGCTAGGGCGGGGGCCCAAAAGTTGGCTTGGTCGTTTCGTTCTTGGAGCAGTCGGGAGATCGAGAAACGGCGACACAGGTCTCGTAACTAATGACAGGGTAATACCTATTCTTTAAAGATGAATATGAATCGCAGGCAGGCGAGGTTGAGTGGTGTTCGTTCAGTTCAATCGATCCATGCTGGCCGGCTCGTGCTTGTCGTCGAGAGGATCATGCGCAGCGCAACGCGGCAGTCGGGGAACGAGCGGGCCTGGCACGAGCACCCCGGGCCTGGACGACGGTTGAAAGGATCCACCTTGATGGGCCGGTCCAATGTGGACCTGGAGATGGGTCAGGTCGTGAAGTGGAAATTTGCCAAGACTGGGCGGCGGACGGGCCTTTGACTTTCTGCCTTTGAGATTTGCGGAGCGTGTGCCGCACTCAAAAAAGGCGGTCCAAGCGTTTGGTGGCCAGCTGCCACTCGGGGTTCGTTACCATGGCAACCACGTTGTGCAGACAAAACAGGTCGTCCTTTCGAAAGTAAACTAATCTTCGGCCCGCCTTCTCCTTCCACTTCACCACATCCACATATCCGCGCTGCAAGAAAACCATCTCTACCACCTCTTCGCTTTTCTTGGATTGCTTTCCTCAAGCTCTCGCTTCTCCCTTGCAAAAATTTGCATAAAGCAATCATACCATCAAGACAAAACTTTGCAGCGCGCCATATCCTTGAACGCAGACTTCCTCAAGTCCATTAGACCAGCTTGCTTTTGCAGTCAACTGATCGCCCCGCCGACTTTGAGACGCATCTCGTCCAAGGACCTCTCCGACTTAGCCGATCATCAACAATCAGAACGTACTAACCTTCCAGGAGCCATTAACTTGAGTCTCTTGGAGCTCTTTCGGTTAATCGGAACTCCTCGACACCTACAACCCCCCTAAACGGTAAGCACCCCCAGCTTGTGGACAGCTATCTATGTGTGTTGATAAGTGTGCTAACCATGACTTGTTGATATAGTGGTACATACCTACTATCTTCATGGTCACTGTAACAAACATGGCTACTCCATCAGTCACGACACCTAAGAAGTCCCACACGGGTCTTTTCTCGAGTCGCACAGCGGGCGGCCGTGTGCCCCTGACCCCTTCTCCTCATCATAATGCGAACGTCAACTCTTCGCCATTCAACAAGGACAAGTCAAATAATGATGGCCAGCGAGCACCCGCCAAGTCGGTCTACCCCGGTAACCTGAGCTCGCATCTTGCACGAGCGGCCTCAACCAAGACCAACTGGGACTCGCCCAAGTCCAACATTGCTCGTGGGGCCTCGACTCCCAAGAAAGCTCTCGAGCTTGGCGTATCCGAGTTTACTTTGACCGGCACCGGCGCTCAGGCGCAAGAACAAACTCAGACCGCACCTACCCCGAAGCCAAAGAAGACCAAGATCAAGGCAAAGCCGATCAAGACAACCGTTACTCTCAATGCCGATCGCTTCATCCCCAACCGAGGCTCAAGCTCAGCCATTGCCAATGGCGGCTCCGGAAAGCTTAACATGCGGGATCAGAAGCGGCCAAAGTCCAGGAACGGCGAATCGTCCAACTCAACAGCCCTCGCCTCTACTACGGACGATGCGACTGAGCAGCTCGAATTTGATTCCCTACTCCTGGATGACGAAGAGGCCGAGACATACGCCCGGCCATCTCCCAACACCGTGGCGTATCAAGACTCCTTGGCCACTGCCTGCGGAATGAACGTCAACACTCGAATTTTGCAGTTCAAGCCAGCTCCTCCCGAGTCGTCCAAGCCCATCGATCTCCGTCAGCAATACAACCGCCCTTTGAAGGCCGCTAACTCGGCAGCGCAATTCCGGCGCCGCATCGCCACAGCACCAGAGCGTGTCCTCGACGCTCCGGGTCTGATTGACGACTACTACCTTAACCTGCTGGACTGGAGCTCGGGAAACCAGGTCGCCATTGGCCTGGAACGCAACGTCTATGTCTGGTCAGCTGACGAGGGCTCTGTTGACTGCCTTATGGAAACTTCTCCCGACACGTACGTGAGCAGCGTCAAATGGTCCGGTGATGGAGCATATGTGGGCGTGGGACTCGGTACCGGTGAGGTCCAGATCTGGGATGTCGCCGAAGGCATCAAGATTCGCAGTATGTTTGGTCACGACAGTCGAGTCGGTGTCATGGGCTGGAGCAAGCACCTTCTCTCGACAGGAGCGCGAAGCGGTCTGGTGTTCAACCATGATGTCCGTATCGCCGAGCACAAGGTTGCAGAACTCGTTTCGCATACATCGGAGGTTTGCGGCCTCGAGTGGCGGTCTGATGGCGCTCAGCTTGCTACCGGTGGAAACGACAATCTCGTGTCGATTTGGGATGCCCGCTCTCTTGCTGTTCCAAAGTTCACCAAGACCAACCACAAGGCTGCCGTTAAGGCTCTCGCTTGGTGCCCTTGGAACATAAACTTGTTGGCTACTGGTGGAGGTTCCTATGATCGTCACATCCACTTCTGGAACACCACTTCCGGTGCCCGCGTCAACAGCATCGACACAGGCTCCCAGGTCACCAGTCTCCGATGGAGCCCTCACTATCGCGAAATCGTAAGCTCTAGCGGTTACCCCGATAACTCGCTCAGCATTTGGAGCTACCCTACTCTGGTCCGAAATGTTGAGATTCCTGCTCATGAGAGCCGTGTCCTCCACAGCTGTCTCAGTCCCGATGGGCAGATGCTCGCCACAGCTGGTAAGTCAAATTCGAAGCAAAATGCTGATGGAAACTGATACTAACCGATATTTGTAGCGGCCGACGAGAGTTTGAAGTTTTGGAAGATCTTTGAGAAGAAGGCCGGATCTGGTGCTGGCATCAGCGGCGCTGGCACATCTTCGAAGGCGACCATGGCGAAACAGATGACAATCCGTTAAGCGCTTTACTGTTCATATAACGACGTCAACTTGGGTTGGCAGCGGTTGCTTTGTTTTCTCGGGTTTTTTGGTCGTTTCAGCACGGCGTTTTGGAGGGTTCGACAGCTTTTGTTCCTAGCCCGGCCTGAACGAGGCCATTGGGTGAAGCGGGCACATACATGGAGGAATCTTGGGATTTGGGTGGATCATGAAGTTATGACGACAAAAACTTTGTATCAAGAGGATACGTACCTCATCTGTACCTGATCATGTCAGATCGGTATTTTGTACGGTAATTGTTTAGAAGCTTGCTAGTACAAATTGTAAAAGTTTGTCAAAAGTTTGTATGGCATGGTATGCGCAAACACTAGCTGGATAGACTCAAATCCCTCCCTGGATAGACTAAACCCACTTTTTCGGGCGCCCAGCCATGAGCCGCGCAAAACCTTCCGGGGCGCATTACCAAATCCACGATGTTTGTGAAGTTATTCAGTGTCGTCAATCCAGTCAATTGTCTACTGTTGAAGCTGTTTATATGGTCTCGTCGCGTGTTATATTGTTGTTTCAAACGCTGCCTTGGTCCTGGTGTTCCGTTGTACGTGAAGCCCTCGCTGTTAGTGCTGCCCACCGTATAAGTGCCGGGGTGCTGGAATTTGAAATTCGCCCTCAGTGCCCTCGTCTTCTACTTAGTTCACCAAAAGCACCTGGCACTTGGAACGACATCATTGGCATCGACATTGACATCGACAGCGACAGCGATAGCGATAGCGACGGAGATGAGGATAGCTTCGAACAATAAATGTACTTGGCTGGCGATATGGTGAGGTTGATGAGCGCGGTCGAGAGCCGGGCAGAGATTGGTTGGGCGCCCGAAAAAGTGGGTTTAGTCTATCCAGGGAGGGATTTGAGTCTATCCAGCTAGCGAATGCGCATGGTATGAGCAATGAATGGGTTGTATTAAAAAGCTCTCATATTGGCGCTTCACTGCGGTGGTTAGGCGACCAACAGTGCAAATGGCTTGCGCTGGTGATGAGGTTTGATCCCACATAAAGTTGGAGGAAGCGATTCACCGGGGCATCGTGAACTTGCGTGTCCCTTGACACAGAGAGGCTGCTCTGCAAATATTCAGGGGGGCATGTTGTTCGCTTCCATCCCGTCTTCCGTCATGGAGTGGGATTGCAGGGCTGCAGGGCTGCAGGGCTGAACTCCTGCAGACGCAAGCGTTCAGCGTTCACAGAAGGGCATGGAAGTCACTGCAGGCATTTCGCCCGCGTTGCCGTAAGACCGACACTGCAGGGCAGTGGCAGTCGCCGCGGCTGTGGGCTGTTGAGGTTGGCGGCCGGCTGACTAAGCAGGGGGTGGCCAGGGAAACTTCAAAGCAGGAATGGCAGGACAGTCTAAACTTACCCATTTCACCACACCTACTGAAGCGCCATCTGCTCTGAATCAAGACAGCACGTCCGCTGTTTGCAACGCTGCCGAGCACTTCTGGATATTGCGCCTTACCAACTAGAAATACAATTCACTACGAGGCTTTCAAAAAGGTGTTTAGAGTGCAGTCTGACGGCGGCTCAGAAACCGTGAGAAGGTGGAAGAAGAAGAAATACCGAGCGCAGGGTTCAAGGACGGGAACCTCTCCAAAAGGCGGCGACTTCTCGCATTGACGACTCACGAATCCCCGACCACATCACACTCACTCGGGCCAACTCCACACACAACACCTAGGCAGACCTCCCTCTCGTCACACACGCGAACTTCCATTGGATTCCAACAAAAAGAAATCGTCAAGCCTTTTTTCGAGTCCGCGCTGGACGACGGCGTAGAAGAAGGAGCGGACAGCAAGCAGAGCGTTTGGTTTGCTGACATAAACGCGTCCCCGTCATCGTGTGGAAGAACAAGACAAGCATCATATCAACTGAAGGCTCTTGTGTCCCCGTCCGTCGAGCAGCCGCAACCGTCACAAGCAGGCAGCTCTTGTCTCCCATCGCCATCAGCAGTCACGCAAGCCTCACCCAGTCAGCCAGCACTCAATACGCACATCCATCCATCACCTTCAATCACCATGTCCAACGCGACTGTCGGTACCGTTTACGAGCACATCATCAACGAGGTGATCAACGCTGTCCGCGTCGACTTCGAGGAGAATGGCGTCGACGATAGTGTTCTAGAAGAACTGAAAAAGGTGAACCACTTTTGACTTTCCCCGTCTTTCCTTCATCCGCGTCGTCGCATCCTTTTTCCTTTTCATGTTGTCGATTCCCGCATCCTGTCCTGTCGTTTTCGTATGTCGCATGCTCTTCTACAGCCATGTCGATGAGCGAGATCCAGCGCCAGTGATACACTCGTGTGTCGACGACGACAAGTGTCGGGTTCTGACGTTGGCTGCCTCTGCTAGCCTTCGCAACGCGAAAGAGTGGATGGAGGAGCAGGCAGCATTCGGGGGCGGGCGACCCAGGGCCTTTTGGGTCTCAAATAAGTTCCCAGTCAGGTTGGCTGGGGCTTCCCCTCTCCCATGACGCCGCTTCCGATTGGACCATCCAAGTGCCGCAGCACGTGCCGCCTGCTGGTGGTCATCACTGCCTGTCACCCCCAAGCCTCAGCCCATGAATACGATATCTTGTAACAATTCATCATCTTCACGTTTCGTCTCCCGTATCCCAAGAAGGACTGGGATCCTACTCCATGAAACAGCAGAAACTAGCTCTGCCTGTCCTTTGCTGGTAACATGTAACTAACGTGTCTTGATAGGGATGGCAACACAAGCTGTCCCAGCTCAACGTTGCTCAGTTTCCTTGGGACCCCAAGCCTGAAGCACCACCCCCGGCGCAGGCCGCGCAGAACACTTCCGCTGCCGTCAATGCGCAGGCGGCTGCTGCCCAGCAACCAACGGCCAACTACACTCAGTCGACCCTGAGCCCACAAACGGCCGCTCAGCCCCTGTCTCTTCCTGGCGGCCAGCCCAACGGCAATGGCGTCGCCATCAAGAATGAACCAGGCATGGCGAACGAGCCTGCCATCAAGCAAGAACCGGGTACTATGCAGCCCATGATGCACCCCGCCTACCCTGGCAACAACGCCGCTCGTGGTGGTATGGCCGCCCAGCGAGCTGCCCAAGCCATTGCAAGCCGGTATGGATCGCAGGCCCAGGCTTCTATCAACGCTATTCACCAGCAAACTCAACAACCTCAGATCCCCGGTCAGGCACCACAGCAACAGCAGCAACAACAGCAGCAGCTTAACCCACAGCAGCAATATCAGCAGAACGTGGCCGCCCAGATGCAGGAGCGCATGCAACAGCGCATGCAACAGCAGCCTGGACAGCCTGGACAGCCGCAGCCTCCCAACCAGCAAAATGGTCTTGGCGGCGCGCAGGTCGATGGCTCGAGCGACGGATTCGACGGTGTCCTGATGCGTCGCGATGCGGACGGCAACCCTGTCGAGATGGGTCGCGTCGAGATCGACAACCTGCTCCACGCCCAGCTCCTGGAAAAAGCTAAGCAGAGGGAAGGAGGCGGCTTGATGCTTCCGTTGAAGGAAGCTACCAAGTCTCGGGGCACCGCCACCAAGAGGAGCCGTGCCGCCGCTCGTGGTGCGAATCAGCTTGATGGAAATGATGAGGATGATGATGAGTTTGACGAAGATGCCATCAACTCTGACCTTGATGACCCTGAGGATGAACGGGATGATGACGATGAAGAGGATGAGGCTAGTGGCTGGATCATGCTCTGCTTGTATGACAAGGTGCAGCGCGTCAAGAATAAGTGGTGAGTGACCCCCATCCTTTTTGGAGTACGACATGAGTCGAGGAAACAGCTACTGATAATTGCTATAGGAAGTGCACCCTTAAGGATGGTGTCTTGACTGTCAATGGCAAGGAATACGTCTTCCATAAGGCCAATGGTGAATATGAGTGGTAAGAGATGCAGTGCTTGGCAGAAAGGACACTCTCACTTTTCTTTAGTTGCCTTCAATGAGGCAGGCCTTCCTTAAAGGTTATGTGGTCACCCACTTGCTATCTATACATGTGGGTAAACCATGGTTTCAATGGAGCAAAAGGAAGCGAATACGGTTCTACTCTTTGGTAGGATGGCTGAGGGGATAGAGTGGGGACGGAAAATGAGTCAAGGAGGAAGGGGATCATAGTTTTGCGATGAGCAAGGAAGCAGAGGGAAAACTGCGCGCATGGGGTTTTGCGAGGGAATGAAGGGAATGAAAGAATGAAGGCAGATGGATATATCTCTAGAGATTGGCGAGGCTTGGTCTTCAGATATCTAGGAGCGAAGTTCGAACAGTTTTAGAAATCATATAAAATCTTCGTCAGGCCTTGTGCCGGAACTGCTGTGAGTATGGTTTTTGCACTTCTTGTTCTTGTCTTCACATGCGATGATCAATTCGTCAAAAGGGACGGGATATCCATGATGCATTCTTGACTCACGAAATATGAAGTCCAGGGCCTCGGACTTGGGCAAGTCAAAAAGATCCAATCGCATCAACTCTTATCATGGCTACGTACCGTGGCTGAGGGTTGCAATTCCTGCTCGAAACCCGCAGCGGGAGTGCCACGGGGTTTATATTGCCCTCGTCCCGTCTCTCGACTTCTTTAGCGATTTCTTAATATACGATGCAGTGCAACTGTTAACACTTAGAATGCGAAACATATACCTATGTAAGTCCGAGGTCAACCCCCCATCAAAGTCCGAGCCAAGAAGTTGAAGCCAACCTCAACAATGTATTACCACACGCTTCAGATTCTCTCGGCGGAAAACCATCTCAGAAACAAAACATGAGATAGCTGTATGTATGTGCGGTTACACTGAACCATGCTTTGCGAACCTGGACCTTGTAAGGTGTCTGGGTTTGCAGCCTACCGTAGAGACTCGCGAAATTCGCCAAAAGCTATCCCTCTTTGATAATGCTACCACAGAGCGGGGTCCGGCTGACCAGTGGCATCTATCTGCATGTCCTTGCAAGGAAGAACGCAACACATATCAATCATGTCTCGATATGGCTACACGAATCTCAAACAGGGTGGTGGTACCCAAGTCAACGCTACTACTCTACTCTACGCAAGGGCGTGGCGGCCGCTGTACCAGTTCAAACCCCATAGGATGGAAGCACTTTTCGTCTTTTCATGGCTACCTTCCATGCGGTGTCGCCAATATAGGTAGGGAAATACTTCCCAGGGTTAAGCTGTCTGTCAGTCATTGATGGTGAGGTAGGGTACATAAAGCTGATTAATCCTCCTCTGTCCACCCACGGAAATCTGGAGACTGCTTCCTCCCGAGACTCTCCCAGTCTCTCTATATCATCACATCACACCATCAAGCAGCCAAAGCTCAAGACCATCTTGAGCGGCTGGGCCCAACCAACAATGGGAGTCCACATCCACCAACACCCAACAAGGGAGAGCGACCTTGGCCACTCCTCGACTACATCAGAGAAAGACGAAGCTGCGGTCCAAGTCGAAAATGGTAGGCACCGATCCTAACAACAACAAGGGCAACAACGAAAATGTGGTCCACAAAGAAGAGTTCTACGCAGGAAACAGCATCTACGCGAAGCTGCACCAAATAACAGGGCGATGGGGCGTGGAAGAGCGAGGGATCGAACGGCTGCCGAGCGATGAGAGGGATGCGAGGAAGCCGATAACTGTTGGTATTACGGTTAGTGTTTTTTTTTTTTTTTTTTTTTTTTTTTGTATTCCTTACCACCAATCATGATTTTGACTTTTTGACTTTGAAGACCTTCAAGTTGAGTTGAAGACAAACACAAAGCCAGTCGCTAACTACTAGAGGTAATGAATGACAGTGGTTTTCCATCAACATGACCTTTGTCTCTCTCACCCTCGGCGTCTTGCCCGTTACTGCCTACGGACTGAGTTTCGTCGATGCGGCTATACTAATTATAGCATTCAATTTCTTGGGGAGTCTGCCTGTTGCTCTGTTTTCGAGTCTGGGTCCGGTGTTTGGATTGAGACAGATTCCGTTGTCGAGATTTTACTTTGGTTATCATGGGGCTAAACTTGGTATGTACCGTTTCCCCCTTTCCGTTTTGCATTCGCTCGCCGTATACCTCGACCGCTGCAATGCTAACAATTTATCCCGTCACAGCCGCCCTCATAAACGTAGCAGTCTGCGTCTCCTCATCCGCCATCAACGCCGTCGTAGGCGCCCAACTCTTCCACGGCATCAACCCTCGCATGCCGGGCTGGGCGGGTATCCTCATCGTCTCCCTCACCACCCTCGTCATCTGCACCATGGGCCACCGTTTCGTGCACACCTACGAGCGCTACTCGTGGCTCCCTTGCTTCGTCGTCCTCCTCATTGTATTAGGAGTCTTTGCCCACTCCGGGAACTTCGACCCTCTCCTCCCCCTAGGCACGGGAACCGCCAAAGCGTCCGGAGTCCTCTCCTTCGCTGCCTCCGTGTACACCTTTACGGCCGGGTGGGCTGCCTACGCGGCTGATTACAGCATTTACCAACCAGCTGACCCCAAGCCGAGCGCGCGCGTCTTCTGGTGGACCTTCGCAGGCAACTTTTTCCCCACGGTGTTCACGGAGCTGCTGGGCGCGGCCGTGATGACGGCGACCGTGCACCACACCGACTTTGCTGCCGCCTACGATGAAGCGGGACTAGGGGGCGTGTTCAGCCATGTGTTGATCCCCGCCGTAGGCAAGGGGTTCGGCACCTTCTGCGTCGTTTTGCTGGCGCTTTCCATAATCGGGACTAACATCGCCACCGTCTATTCCGTCTCCATGTCCGTGCAAGTGTTAGGCAGACGGACTCAGCGGGTGCCGCGGTTCTTGTGGACGCTTGTTTCCACGGTCGGGTACACAGCGTTTGCGATACCTGCGTATCAGGAGTTTGCGACGTACCTGGAGAATCTGTTGCTGGCGATGTCGTACTGGATCTCCATTTACTTGGGGATTACGTTGACGGAGCATTTTCTGTTTAGACGCGGGGTGAGGGGGTATCAGCCGGAAGCTTATACGGATGCCAAAAGTTGCCGCCGGGTATGGCGGCTATTACGGCTTTCTGTGTGGGGGCGGTAGGAGTCGCGGTGGGGATTGCACAGGAGTGGTATAGAGGCCCGGTGATAAAGGCGGTGGGGGAGGAGTTTGTGGGGGATTTGGGGTGTGTTTTTGGGTTTTTGTTTACTACTGTGAGTTATATGGTGTTGAGGTATTGGGAGAAGAGGTACTTTGGGCGTTGAGGAGGAGGGGGGATGTGATGTTCTTGGTCGGGGTGACTTTGTTGTGTGTTTATCGAAGGGTTGAGGCAGTCAGGATTAGGCCTTATAGAAGCTTTTATGGACAGGGCTTGAAAAATTATCTAAATACCGAATATGAGAGACGGTCGAATGAGTTCATATCATTATGTTAGAGCTGATACTTTTCGAGTGTCAGGAGAGAAATAGAAAGAAATTGACAAGAGACAGCTCTAGTCCTCGTAAACAACGTTTACCGCTGACAGCTGGCGGAAGCTGTCAAACACCTGCCAAGACAGTTCAAGAATGCTGGGGTCTCTGGATTGCGTAGAACACTCGAGCTCTCCCTCGCAAAACTCACTGTGGTCTTAACAACATCGAAACACGCAGAGGGCATTCATCACAACCAATTCCACCCGCGCAACCGAAGAAATCAACTCATTTGGCATTTTCAACTGATACGACCTCAAATTATCTCGAATTTGTTTTTCAGAACCAGTGAAGAAAGAACAAAACCTAAAACATGGCGCCCACCGTCCTCCCTGCCTCTGGCAACCCGCTGTAAGTCCCAGCTATTCTTTTGTTCGTTAGTACCTGCGCTGTATCAAGCAGAGGTACCCATGTACCTCTCTCTCTTCATCAAGTCAACTTCACTTCATCAGTCGGAACTCCCATGTCCGACGACCACATCTCAGATGTCACAACACTTACTTTTTATCGACCATCTTTGTGTTCTGTTTTCATTTTAACTATCATCACCAAACGGATGTAACTCCCATCAACACCATCAACCACCAACCCAGGCAACTGCCAAGTCGCACTCATTCATTCATACCTTCTCCCCGAGCCTACATCTACACTAGGCATTCTCTACTTCTACACCTCAACCACCTCGACCACAACCTACAGCCATCACTCACCATTAACAGTCATGTCGTGTCATGTCATTTTATGATTTAAACCCATCACCTACTACTCACTTATGAATCAACCAAAACCAAATTGATCTAACCATCAAACCAAAAACACAGAGTCTTCTTCGACATCACCCTCGGCGGCGAGCCCCTCGGCCGCATCACCTTCGAGCTCTTCAAGGACGTAGTCCCCAAGACGGCCGAGAACTTCCGGCAGTTCTGCACGGGCGAGAGCAAGAACAACCTCGGTCGGCCGCAGGGGTATAAGGGGAGCAAGTTCCACCGGATTGTATGTCACCACACATTTATTTCTTTCTGTTCTGTTCTCACTGTGCTCTGTCTCTTCCTTGTGTTGTGAACAAAAAAAGAATGGCTGGTGATGGTGAACGCTGACTAAATACCGAAAAAAAAAAATAGATTCCCAACTTCATGTGCCAAGGCGGTGACTTCCTCAACGGCGACGGCACCGGTTCAACCTGCATCTACGGCACCAAGAGCTTTGCGGACGAGAATTTCTTGCTGAAGCATGATTCGCCTGGGTTGCTTTCTATGGCTGTGAGTGTGTCTGCTTCCTTCCCTCCTTCCCTCCTTTCCATATCTACCCCACCTACCTACGTACCTTCCTACCGAGAGTGACAGGTAAAAAGAAACTGACTGAACTCAAAACCCAAAAAAAGAACGCCGGCCCAAACACAAACGGCTCACAATTCTTCATCACCACGGTCCCGACCCCCTTCCTGGACGGCAAGCACATCGTGTTCGGTAAAGTCGTGGACGGCATGGATGTCGTCAGGAAGATGGAGAACACCAAGACTGGATATCGCGGCAAGGACGTGCCGAACTTGGATGTTGTGATTGCTCAGTGTGGTGAGATGTAAGGAGGGGAAATTTGGAATTGGTGATCGGATGGGTTGGTGGTATGGGCGGTGGATTGTGATGTGGTATCAAGGAGGCACCGTTTTCGAGATGCGATGTAGTGAGTAGGGCAGCACAATTCAGGGAGATGGACAATGTAATCGATGCCCAAGGATGAATATGGTTCAATGTTCGTATAACTCATGGAATCAACTCATCAATTTTGAACTCCGAAACCGAATCCTTATCACCTCATACATCATAACACTCAGCCCAAGGCACAAAAGAAAAACGTCCAAGTAAACAAAGTACAGACCCGAATGAATCACCTAGATTCGGAAGTCCATAGAAAAGACCCACAGCTACACAGTAGTATGAAGTCCATAAAGAAGCAGAAAAAGATCGAAATAACGTATTTTTCCCATCAAGAAGGCGAGTGAGTCAACCTTGCTTTTAATATTCCTGTCTCAGACAAGGGATAAATCGGGGTTCAAAAGGAACGACGAGAAAGGAAAACAAAAATTGGGTATGTGGTATCTCAAAACAACAAGAAGAAGAGAAGTGAAGTTGAAGAGAAAGAAACGCAAAAAAAATCCCGAACCCGCAAGATCCTTTATCCTTCCTCGCCTTCCTAACTCTTGCAACTCTTGTCCCATAATTGTCATCATCTAATGCAATTTCTCCCCCTTACATGCCAGCCCGCCAAATGCGCAGCACTCATCGATGCATAAAACGAGGTTGCCCCGTTTTTCATATCTCTCTTTTTTCTCTTGTCTCGTCATACCCAGCCGGCCAACCATGCAACAATGTCATCCTCCATGAATATCCTGTCTGAACCAAAACGCCAGAATGTATGTGTTTTCATCATAAGAGAATGGAATGAATGAGAGTGTAAGTTGCTTGTGATAAAGACTGGCTTTCTTTCCTGAATGAAGGGTATCCTGCACGAACAATGCCCTTGTCCGACGCCGTAGTCAAAAGGCAGAGAACTGAGAAAAGAACAAGGGAAGATCGGCCCGTTGTCCACAAACCGGTCGTACAAAGCGAGCCACGTTTTCCCGTTGACGGCACGAGTATTGGCCATTGTTGTGATGTGACAACTGACTTCAATTCCTGCCGACAAAGCCCCATTGGCCTTTTCCACGACGGAACTTGGGAGCGCTCGTGGTCTGGTTGTACGCGGTCTCGTAGATGGTCGCAGTCATGATAGCAATCTGGGTGGTCTCGGTTACGTAGACGGTAGACGCGGGCATGGTGATGGTCTGCGTGACCATCACAAACTTGGTGTTTCCGGCGATGGGATTTTGGCCGTTTCCTTCAGTCGGGTTGTTGGTGCTAACTGGTGCGGACACACTGGATTCCTGAGATACAGTGGCTGGTATCGAAGTAGGGGCCGAGTTTGATGCTTGGGATGCAGACGAAACAGGCGCAGAAGATGCTGCCGGAGCGGGAGCGGTCGAAGATGAGGCGCTAAGAAAAACTCCGCCGGCGGGAGGGCTTCCGGTTTGGGTTGCAGAAGAAGCTGTCGAAGATGAGGCGCTAACAGAACCACCACCGGTGTGAGAGCTTGCGGAAGGAGCATTAACGCTGCCTCCTACTTGTACAAACAAGCTCTTTTGTCGGGCCATGTTCCTAGCCTGAATATCGTATGGAATGGGATTCGGTCTATCTGTTCTCCCGATCAAACCGGCCATTGGGATATCAGCTTCGTTATAGTCGACGCCAGCTTTCGCGGCCTTGCCTTTCTGCGGGACTTTGACCATGAAAAGATTCGCCATCTGCGCTCTGATAGCAGCTTTGCTGAAGTCCGTTTCCACAAACTGCACGTCAGTCTTGCCCCCACCCTTGCATCCAGGACCCTTAACTTCACCAAGGCTTTCGTCGCAGGGGTCGACAATATTGATATCGACAACTCCGGTGTATATTTCCGGAACTGACACTATAGCGTCCTTGTTCTCCTCGATGAAGGTATAAGGAGAGACGGCAACGCCTCGTTCTCTCGTTTGTGGCCAGTCCCAGACCCAAATGATTGTATACACTTGTCCAATTTTGAGGTCAGCCGGGAGCTTGATATCCGACTGGCACATTAGGCGTCCTCCCATTATATCCGGAATCTTGAAATTGGCCTGGCGGAAAGCTTTGATGCCTGCGGGGTCGCCAGTTGCTGGGTTGAGGGGCTCACGACATTGGCCGTCGTCATAGTGCCTGGTAGCCAAGAGCCTTCCCTTCTTATCGCCGCCGGTGCCATCAGCCGTCCATTTGAGGTGGACGTCAGCGAAGCGGACATCGGCTAGGTTGTTGTTGGTCGTTCCATAGAGGTAGATGGTACCACGATTTACAGGTGATACCCTGTTGAGCTGGGGTGACTCTGGGAGCGAGACGTGGCCATTCTCGTTGTATTGGATAGCTACCCAGTCTCCTGGGGCAGCCTTTGGCATTGCATAGTTAACGTTGTAACTTTGATCAGTGAGGACTGCCCTTTCTGGCATATAAAGGAGAGCAGAATCGAGTCCGTGAATAAGCTGGTACTGATTGTCCCCAGTCTGGTAAGCCCTCGAGTAGCCCACTGGGCCGACCATGGTGCCGTTTGGTGCGATGCGCCTCACTTGCTCGGGCCAGGAATGTCCTGCTGAAAGTCGGACCATGGCAAAGAGGGCGGCAACCAGCAGACCCCCAGTGTCTTTTAGCGAGTATGTCTTCATGGTGTGCTGTCTCCAGAGACAGGGCGTAACGTTGTTGTGTATTTTGTTGCTTGTCGGAAAGGGCGAGAGGGAGAAGGAGGGAAGACGACGTCAGAAAAACGAGTGCTGAAAAAGTATCGGCGTGGGTAGAAGAAGTGAGTCGAGGTCTAAAGTGGTTCAACGTCCAGCGTATAATATGACCAGCATGGGTACAAGAATGGAGAACGAGCGGGGTGACTCCTATTGTACTTGTTGTGTGCTTCTTCAATAGGCCATTGTGACGGGTTTGTGAAATTGTGGTGAAATCGAGGGGACTTTTATCGACGAGACACAATAAAGAAAGAGGCAGGTGCGCCGGGTCGTCAATGAGATTGTCCACCGGCCGAGGAAGCGTGACGGGTGGGTCAATGAAAAGTCGGGATTGAAGCGTCAAGCAAAGGCGGCGGCTGCAGAACTTGCTTGAATCGAGTCGAGAAAGATATCGAGGTGATAGTCACCAAGGCCTGGTGATCACTTGCTGTCGTCGTCGTCGTCAAAGGAAGATGATTGTTGTTGTTGGGACTGAGGTGAGGAGTTGAGGACGGTCTGGAGGAGGATGATCAGACGGGTTGTGAGAGCCGAGTTGACCGTGAACAAGAGAAGAGTATCACGCAAACCTGAGGTGGGTAGGGATCGGAGTACGTGATGCTCGTCCTTAGGACGTTATATTGGAGGGCACGGGAGAGAGAAATGGATCTAGCAGGATCTAGATGCCACAAGCAGACACAACAAAATCTGGTAGCACGGCGGGATGCGCAACACTTGAAACCTCGAGGGCCCGAAATGAGAAGGAGCTTGTGTACGCGCGGGACATAGGAGTGCGTCACGAGAATGGAAAGACGGACGGATGCAGTACCAGGCCAAGTGGAAAGCACCCTTCCCGTGCTTCCTGTTCAGAAATGTAGTCATACCATTGCCCTGACTGTCCATACCTACCATCAAGCGATTGCCCATTGCCCATTGCCCATTGCCCACTGGCGGCTGGCGTGGCCCCTGGGCTGGACCGGCTCACTGGATCATGATGGCCAGTGGATGCGACGTTGGTTCAACACAAGAAAGAGATGAATGGATGGAAATTGTACAAGTTGGTGCCCATCTGCCATGTCGTTGCTTCCCGATCATCGTCAACGAACCGTTTGGTGTGGAGACGCGCTAGTCTGTTCTGAAAATGCAGGCACGCAGCCGGTTTGGTTGGTCGTCGCTTGTCCACCACATCCGCAAAGCCAAGATTTGGTTGGGCGGCGTCAAGCGCTGTCTGACAAGGGTTGGAGCCCCATATGCACCACCTATCCATCCATTGATCCTCCTCCCCGCCACGTCCGCGTGGCTTGCCCCAAATCTTTTTTCATATCGCTCCAATTCTTCCATGCCTGGACCTCGCCCAGACAGAGACAACACCAAGTTGTTACACCCAGCAACATGCAAGACAAATGATGACTTGCCGTAGGCTCCTGGCACCCCGGGCATAGTCTAATTCTCTTGTTCTGTACAATTCTCCGGCGGCTCTCTCCCAGACCTCTTCCAGAACCTGCTGACTCGCAGCGAACGTGACCATACAAACGGCGCTTTGTTTCAAGGTCGAAGGAGATCAATGCGCTGCCATCCGAGGCACCTCGTTGGTTGATTTAGCCGCCTAGCCGCCCGCGCTTCCAGGTATTTGATATCGAGAGGTACGTATCATATCCCGTTCTCCCAAACAAAACGAAATTATCCTCTGCCTCACGTTGATGGAGATGGCGTTTCTCGAGACATGTTAGATTCCCATTCCCGAGCGAAACACGAGGATCCGGATACCCTATGGCGCAAACTAAGCGCTGGATGGGGGCCTGGCCTTGTCATCGGACCCCCCCTGCTCTTTTATGCGCCGCATAAACTTACAACCGCCGCGTTGATCATCGGAATACCGCAAAGAGGAATCCCATCCGCCAAAGGTAGTAATACACACAGACACACACCTTACCCTCTTACCCATCCTCTGTGATGTATTTATTGCCCCTCATTCGCCTCCCACTCAATGCCAACTCTCGCCATCCTCCATATCCTTTCAAACCAGAACTGGGACGATCTGTCACCCTGCGCAACTCTATCCGCCGTCTCCTCACGTGCCCCTGAGGGGATGTTTGTTTCAGCCTTTGGTTCTCTGCACTTTTGTTGAGCGGATGAACGATTGCTCATCAAGCGCCTGAAGAAGGAGCCCGGTCACCGAAATTCCGTGGCCAGCAACAAATTTCGTCCGTCCCCAGCCTGTTCAGAGGAAGGGAAGACTAAACATCAGAACCAGAATACGAATTGTTCTCTCCCTCTCTCTCCCTCGATTCTTGCGGTCAGTAAAACCCCCATCATCAATCAATCAACAATCTGCGCACAACAATCGTATCACTCGCATCAAGTGATCCATCCAGCCGAGTCTATTTCACCTTGCAGATGCTCTTGTGCGGGCTCATCTCAGCAGACCACAAATCTACTGTGAAGGCTTCACAGACGGCTAGCGCACCGCGCCCACCCAGCCAAACGGTCATATCCGAACACCAGTTGTGGTGAATGGTGAGCTTCGTGGATGTGTGTGTGTTTGTTTCGTTTCATGTCCCCCCATAACCCCTCCAGATTGTTTCCTGGTGCAGGCCCAGACTTGCACATCAGTGGATAATGGACAAGGTCCGTCCCGTGTGTGTTGTGTTTGTTTGTCCCCTCCATCCCCCCACATCCTGGACTGTTACGGTTGAGGAACCTGGCGAGTGACAGGGGTTGTTTGACAACCACTTGCGGATTTGACCACAAATTTTCTGGCATTCTCATTTTCTGCTGTGAATCTAATGAGCCAAGATTATTCGTGATGATTACGATGATTGTCTCACAGCCATGATTCAGCCTGGTTTTCTGTGTATCTACACTGCTTTGATATCACAAAATCAACGAAAAAACGCAATTTCAAGATCGTACTCTTCACTTATCAAGCAAAACTCATGGAAACAGAGCCACCGCTCAATGATGAGATAACAGCAAAGCACCAGTGTTTTGTCTCATTGAGTTCGATTTATCTTAGCCCTATGGCGATGCCCCCATCATGTCCTCCCTCTCCTATTTTACCGTTCACAAAACTATCGTAAAGACCCAAAAAAGAAAAAAGAGAGAGAAAGAAAAGTCCTATAACCCAGTCAAAATGCGCCCTTTGAATATGCGTCATGTCCCCAAAGCGAACCCAAAAAAAAAGAGAAAAAAGGATCCGTATAAAAGCCAAAAACGCTCACTGCCAAGTGGCTTGAGAATGGCGTATATATCCATCTGTCCAGCTTGTTCACCCATCCAATCCAGTTATTCAGTCATTAGTAGAACTCCTCGTAACTCCCGTCCGTCCAAGATTATATTTTCCGTTCCCTGTGCGTTCCGCACTCCCATTACACCGACCCCAAAGCCCGCGCCGGTAATCCCAGTAAATGATATGATGTGACTAGTCCTCCTCATAGTCCTCGTCATTATTATCATCGCCATCCCCTTCTTCTTCCTCATCATCATCTCCCAAATCAGCAGCTGATCGCGTGCGCTTGATACCTCTCATAAGTTGCTGAGGTTGATGATGGTGGTAATCATTTTCCATATGTGTCACCTCTTCCACCAACGCTGCTGCCTCTTGTGATGATACATTCACGCTGGCCACAATCTCATCCCACTCTTGCGAGAGGTGGTGGTGGCCTTCTTCGGGGGAGTTGTTTGAGCTGATGGATCGATGCTGGTGCTGGTGCTGATGACTAGGGTGTGATTGTTGGTATTGATCTTGATGACGCGCATAATGATGTTGCTGCTGCTGCTGGGACTGGGACTGGGACTGGTGATGTTCTTGTTGTTCATCAACGGTTACAGGAGGCCAGTGAACCTCCGGACCCGTTGACGTGGCTGGTGTCCAGAGATCATGGTCATCAGCCGCCGGCCATTGCTGCTGCTGCTGCTGTTGATGATGATGCTGGTGAGATGACTGGTGGTGTAATTGGTTCCCACTATGCTGGTGGCTCAAATGCAAAGAAGGCACACGTCCATCAACAGACCCCGCTCGAGAAACAGGGTTACTACCATGATGAGAAGCAGCAGCAGCAGCAGCCTGAGGATGCAAGTGTTGAGATGATGATGTCCTTGGCCATTGCTGAGTAACACCACCGGAATTAGCAGTGGCGTAACCGGCTGATGCCGCTGACCAGGATGGATCTAGCCCACTGGTAGTAGACCAAGTCGACGGTGCCGTCGTGGAAACTGGGTCATAGACACCAACACCAACACCAACACCAGACGCAGCAGCAGCAGCAGTCAGAAACGGATCCGTGACAGCAGCTAGATCGCTCAGTGAAGGCTGTGGTGGGGGATTGTGGTGGGCATGATTGTGATGAGGATGAGGATTATGATGACTCGCGGCGGCATGGGCATGGGAAAGACCAGTGTGAGTATGGTGACCTGTATGCTGATGTTGTTGATGATGATGACTGTGACTGTGACTGTAGTGCTGCTGTTGCTGCTGGCTCCCACCACCACCACCGGCGGCATCAAAGTTGTGAGTGAACGAGTTACTCATCGTTGCGCTAGGAGGAGGCGTCTCCAAGCCCGAGTGGACGCTGGCACCACTGTGACTCCCCAATCTTTGCCCTGCTCCATGTCCGCCTCCCCTCATGCTATGCTCAAGCATCATGTGGAACTGGGCATCATAGCCTGTTGCAGAACTGAGATGGGTAGCGCCCGACCCTACAGAGGAGAAGGAGCCCCGCGTGTCAGTACCACCACCTCCTCCTCCCCATGCGGAAGTAGCTGTGGCGGTGGCCGAAGCCGCGGCGGAGGCGGAGGTGTTGTACACGTCGCTCATCCCGGCGGCGGCGGCGTTCTGAAGGTGGTGCTGGTAGCTGGTTGCTGGGGACATGATTAGGTCGCCGGCGCGACCCCCCATGCCGGGCGTGGTTCCCATTGATGAGGAGATGGGCGACGGGATGAATGCTTCTGTTGCGCCCATGCCATGGGAGGTCCCGGGATAATGGGGGTTGATGCTCAGGGAAGTCCTACCGCCGGCGGCGGCGGTGGTGGTGTGGCGGTTTGGTCCAATGACTTGTCCAGCAGCAGCGGCATCTGAACTGCTAAGCAGGGCCTTTTGCTGATGGTAGGGGCTGGTCGGGTCAAGGACGGTCAGGAAGCGCCAGCTGGTTTTGCCGCTTTGCGCGGTGGGGAGCTTGCCGTCGCTGTCGAGGCTGTGGATGGTTTCGAATGTCCAGAGGATCACGGCACGGCGGGTCCATTGTGGCTGTTGGTGGCTTGCGGTGCCGGCGCCGGCGCCATCCTGCTGCTCAAGAGGAGACTGTTCGGGTGGACAGGACCAGATCTCTTGGAGGATGGCGATCTGGGGGACCAGTTCCATTTGCGTTGGTTGGCCTCCGTCTCCGCCGACGCTGGATCGGGTGCTGGTGCTCTCGGTGTCGTCATTGTCGTCGGAGGAATCCTCTCTCTTCAGAGAAGCCGCCGCCGCCACTCTTTTGTTGTTGCCTCGCCGCACACCGGTAAACGGGTGAGCGGGATACTCGGCGCAGTTGGTAAGAGTTCGCGCCCATGCGTCCGCTGGGAACGGCACCATGACCCACTCCCGGCGTCGGCCCGCCGAGATGCAGTCACATTGATGATCGTGCCCGCCGCCGTTCCGTGGCCCGTCGCACCCGGGAAGGTGCTGGTATTGGATGGCGATCTCGGCGCCCGTCTCATAGTATGTTTGCGGCGGCGACTTTTCGCTCACAAAGCTCAACTCGGCCGGGCGGACAAGCTTCGTCTCAACCTTCCATCGGTGGCTGAGCAACTGTGGTTGCTCGATGTTGATCTCAAACCACGAATTAAAGTCCGACTGGTTGGGAAACCCTCGCCTCTCCTTGAGCTCCAAGGCGACGTTCATGTGCAAGTAGTCGCAGCGACTGTCGGCGGCGATGATGGCCTCAAGCCGCTCATGGAGTTCGGGAAACGAGGTCTCCCACCCCCTGCTGACTTCCCGGACAGTGCTGGACTCTACCTGACGAATTCCCTTTGTAAACTCGTGCAGCAGCGAGCCTTTGAAGATCTGCTGCTCTTCCTTGGCCCATTTCTCCTTTTCAAGGTTGCGTTCAAGGTGAGGGTATTCGCTTTTGTCCAGCCTGTCGCCCGTGGTGGGAAGGTATCCGGAGCCGTCACCGCGGACGGTGACGTTGGGGTGTGATACGAAGATCCAACATCGTTTGGGCCGGATGGCAATCTGGTCATTGAGTGCAAGGATCTGGGCAAAGTACTCGTAATTGGGCCGCTCGTCGGGAAGACGACCCTCTGCCAAGGCAATCAGCACCGGGTTTTTCTTGAAAGACTCGATTTCCTTGAGCTCCGTCGCCGACAAGGGCTGCTTTTTGGCCGCCTTGCGTCGTCTGTTCTTCTCCTCTTTATTCTCTTGTCGAGGGAAGAAGAAGTGGACTATGCGCAGGGAGGGCGGGCAAGGGGGTCCCGTTGGTTAGCTTGTGTGTGCGCCACAGGATATACAGAATCTGCACGAAAGGAAAGCAAGCACAGGGGGGGAGCCTGACAGGGCCGGAAAAAGAAATGTTTGCTTGGGCAACGTGACAAGGGGGTTGAGTGAGTTTAGTGCAATGGGGCTGAACGGAGGGCTCTGACGAATTCAAACTTACAGCATCGATGATTCAGAAAGAAGTTCTTCAACACTTGGATGTGACTCGACACCTGCTTTCGCTTTCTCTTCAATTTCGGGTCCGGCTCGGTGCCGGGCGGCAAGCTGGCACAATACGCTATCCAGAGGAACTCAGCAATCAACATGTTCCGACCCCAGAGCTTCGAACGCATCGTGTACTTTCTCTTTCCCATTTGCTGAGGGATAAGCAACAGAGCTGGACATGTACCTGCATCAGCCATCTAATCTGCAACAATACGAGGTTATTCAGAAGATCCTCACCGTCAAGAAACGCATCCTCAAGGACATCGGGCCATTTCTGGTCCGACTTTTCCTCCTTGCTCTTATTTGCTTGCTTCTTTCTGTAACTGAGGAACTGAGGTGACAAGTAGATCGGGTTGATGCCATGTTGCCTTCTCTGAAGCTGCATCTGATGCCGTTGCTGTAGCCTTAGGAACTCGGGTGACCCATAGGCGGAACTGAGAGACTGAGTTGGGATAACGGGTGGACTAGGAATGGAGAGCTGATGATGTGCATACGACGACCTTACCAGAGCACCGAGTTGTTGTTGCTGCTGCTGTTGTTGTCGGAGTTGCTGCTCTTCATGCTGTTGTTGTTGGAAGTGATGATACTGAGCATTGCCAGTGGACTCACGCAGAGGCGGTCTTGGTGCGGAGAGGACATGGCGATGATCCAGGATAAAGTCCGACGAAGACGGATAACACTGCGATGCAAGAGTCGTGGGCCTGACCGGGAACTCCATTTTTTGGGCCAACGGAACAGGACCACTAAGCGGTCACGCTTCTGGACTCGCGGAGCAAGCTGGAATAAAGAGAGAGAATGCTCGGAAGGAATGACTTGTCGTCAGACGCAAGCCAAAGAAGATATAAAATATGCTAGTACGAAGGGGGTTTGAGCCGTTGAGGCATGGAGGGGAGTGGTCAATATCTTATAAAGGGCCGTCGCCCTTCCCTCGATAATGATCACCAATCCCAGGCCGGCCGTACTTGGGATGCTTCTTGCAACAACATGCTGCTCGAGGGCGACTGTCGCCCTGGGTGTTGTCAAACAACTGTTATTAGGTCAGCTGCTTGTTGTTACTTGGACAGGACCAACTGGCACGCAAGGGAACCGTACCAGTTGACAAGGGGAAATCTGCAGCACCAGTCAGTCGGAGCCGACCATCAAACCATAGGCAGAAATGGGAGGACTTGGACCAAGCAGCCCTCATTCAGGCATGCGGCAAGATTACTTTGCACAGTACGGATGTAAGCACGGGAGAGAAGTGTGCGTGAAAGGGAATTGGATGTCAATAAAGGTGGTTGTCCTAAAAAGGTAGACATGGTTGACAGGGGTGGCGAGCACCTCCTTCACAAGGGAACCGAGACATGATTGCCGCAACCCCGTCCCAAATCTGAGACCTAGGGAAAAGATTCAATTCTTCATGTGCTTCATACTTCATCTTCATCGTTATCTCCAATGGTGACCTTCGCCCGCCCTGTCCCTGTAAGCTGCTGCAGGGCGACCTTATTAACCTGGGCACGAGTCTTCTTCTCCATAGCAGCGATCTGGTCCTCCGGATCGATATCCTCCGCCTGCGCGAAATCAATAACAAGACGACGTCCGAGAACATGGGTATCTTTGAGAGAATTGAACGCGTTGAGCGCCTCCTTGGCTGTGGAAAATTCCGCAAAGGCAAAACCGCGCGAGGATTGGTTGAACTTCTTGGGAATACGAAGCGCAACCAACTTGCCATAGGTGCTGAACAGAGTCCGCACCTCCTTCTTCGTAACTTCGAAAGGCAAGTTCTTGATGACGAGCTTGGTGCCTTGGCTCGCCGCCTTCTTGGCCATATCTTCCCGCCTCCGCTCCTCAGCGGCATCAAGGCCTCTGTGTGATGTCTTGACGCTGAGTTTGTGGGCATCAAGAACCTGGCCGTCCATAACCTTGAGTGCAGCCTGTGCCTGGTCCTTGGTTCGGAAAGCCGCAAAACCAAAGCCCATGCTGAGCACCTGGCCTGGCTTCTTGGGGTCTGTCTTCGTCTTGACCTTCGCGTTGACAAAACCATCCAAGTGTTTGAAGGCGTCGGTCAAGCCCTGAGAAGTGGTGGAGAAGTTGAGATTGCGAACGAACAATGAAGAGGTCTCCAATTGTTCCTCAGCATCATCACGTTCCAACAAATCAGCCACAGACGGCTTCTGCACACCGGCAGGACGAGCCTCTGTGGGTGCAGCCACATTGTCAGTGAAGAGACCCTTCGGTCCCTTCTCGAGGAACAAGATGGAGTCCTTGAAACGAGAGTATGCCTTCCTGGCAAAAGCTGTCCTGCACTGCACAGGCTGTGCGAATTGGACGATGGCAATGGTGCCACTTGGCGGCATGAGCACTCTAAGTACCGTACCATGCTCCTCGAAAAGAGTCCGCAGCTCCTCGATGGTGGTGTTTTTGATGTTCTTGACGAGGATGGTGGTGTCGCCCCGCTGTTGTGTCTTGAAGGCCTCGATGTTCACACCATTGGCTGCAAAGTAAGACTTTGCTTCCTGGATGACCGTTGTCTCAGCAACAGCCTGCTTGACAGCAGCCGACGCGTCCGTGGGATCCAGAAGCTCAGCCTTTGACACGCCTAGACGCTCTGCCATTGCCGTGTTCACAGCATCTTGGCTCATGAAGAGGGAGTTCCAGTTGAAGGTGCTAGAAGCAGCCTCAGCCTTCTTCCTCAACAACTGCTGCTTCTTCAGAGGCAGCTTCGAGAGAGCGAATTCGTCCAGCTTGTTCTCCCTCTTGGCAGCGGCGGGCAGGATGTGGACGATTCGACCTTGAAAGACAGTGCCATCTGTCTGGAATGCAGCAAGTGCGGACGCCGGCTTTTCGTAACGAATCATAGCAAAGCCCTTGCTATGGCCCTTGCTATCCAATGGGACATGCGCCTGACGCAGAGAGTCAGCAGGAATTCAAAGCGACCATTATCCAAAACAATTCGAAATTAATCGGCCCTATGATCAGAAACTCGAAGCATCTACTAAAATACCGAGCCCAAATTCACATCATTTGCCTTTGGCATAAGATGTCCCTATCAGGGGTTCATCATAAAAGGGCGGAAGGGGGGAGACAAGGAAATGTTGCAGCTTACCTCTTCCAAAGTGCCAAACTTGGCGAAGTGCTCTCTGACATCATCCTCAGTGACGGTGTAACTGAGATTCCGCAAGAAAAGCCGTGATGTCTTTTCAATCAGGCTTATAGCAGACTCGGGGTCTTGCGCCGAGGTCGCAGCCGTTTCCTGGGAGCCCTTGGTGGCATGTTCCTCTGCCTTTGCCGACGCCGTGTTCTCAACGGACGAGGCTGGCACAGGAGCAGATGCAGGAGCCGGTGCAGGGGCAGACGCAGCGGGACGAAGAGCGAAAGCGGCGTCATCTGGGTCGACCAAGTCAAGGAGACGGTTTGTCCTTGAGCGGAGCCAGTCGTCATCGGTAGCATCGAGAGACACTTGTGGGGCTGGCTCAGACGACTCAACGGCAGCAGGTGTCGCAGATGATTCAAGACTTGGTGCAAGAGGAGCGTCGACCATTTCCTGATCGGCGATGTGTGTGGACTGATTCTGAGTACGAGCGGGGATGTCCTCGTATTCATCATCACTTTCACCATCCTCCAAGCCGGCAGGCACAGCTGGTGCCAGGACTTCGTCGACGGTGGTGGGAAGGCCCTCGGCATTGCGCATCTTCTTGGATGGGTGAGCCCCCATGACATCGAGGTACTCCTGGAGTTTCGGATCGGCCTCGTCCAAAACATCCAGTTTCCTCTTCGGGGCATCTGGGGCAGCCTCCTCTTTAGGTACCGCGGGGGCAGTTACCTTGGTGTTTGGAGGGACAACCTTGGGCGCATTCTTGGGACCGACATCTTTCGAAGGACCCCTTGAAGCTGATTTGTGATGGGGGATTGAGTCTGCGATCTGATGGTTGCTGTTAGCATCAAGTTGGCTGACGGCCAGTGGAGGACAGGCTGGAACGTACCGGTTTCGCTATGTCGACTGCAATCCTGGACATGCGGATGAAGGAGCGGTTGAAGTATTTGACCGCCCTGGCGGCATCTTCCGCCGACTTGTAGCCGACGAAGCCAATATGGCGGGTTGGGATAAGTTTGACATCGGTGACCTGGCGACCCTCAGCCGAGAAGTGCTTGCGAAACTCGGCTTCGGTGATGGTCGGCGGCAGGTTTTTCACGAAAATTCTCGATGATGACTCCATGGCTGCAGCCTCTGTCTATACAAGACAGTTGATGGACCGGAGGCTTGCCGCAAGATCATTCCGTCGAGGATACCGCGGGACTGCAGGTTTGTGGTAATTGGGGGAATGGAAGTCTTGACCAATTTTTTTTCCACGATCATCCATAATAAAAATTTCCCGGCCCCCACTGGAGCCGCGCTCTTATCTTATCGGGCAGGTGGCCCGGGCGGACCCATTCGTTATTTGCAGTGGATACCCTGACGAAGCCTGAGTGGTGACCGCGCCGGCGCCAGCCCAGGGGCAGTGACACGGTGACATGGAGTGCACCGGCACCACCCATGGATCTCCGGGCAGCCTCACAAGCGCCCGTCGCCTGGCATCATCTTGTTGGACGGCTGTATTCAGCTAGGACACCTTGTGGATGTTATGCTTTGCATGATGTCGTTGCTTCTGATATAGCGCCGACGGGCGGGAGAAGGTGTTCCTGAGCAGTGTCGTCCTTCTACACGTGTACCTAGCTGATGAAGGGCCCGTTGGTGAGAGCCTGGATGCCCTGCCGTGTGAGGTTCAAGCCTGTGTACATCGAAGCTTCTACAATTCCTGACCTCCAACTTACACTACAAGTACATACATACAGTCCGTCCCATGAGATGATGAGGTCGTGCTGGTCTTCTCCACCGCCAAAGAAGCGAATATTCTAGTGACCATCAATCACGTCCAATCGAGGTTACTGGACAGGATAGACAGGACCCAGCACGGTGCATCTCCCGTCTCCAATTCTTCAGTTCGGTGTCGTCCACCCCTAGCACGCCCAGAAGCCCCAGGTTAGCCCAGGCACTTAATGAACCGGGGCGTCACAACCCAATTGCCCTTTGGAGGTAGGTACGACGCAAGGTACGTACTTTAGGGCGCCTTGCCGCCCTGCCGCCCTTTCTGACCGCCCACACCTGACGCTTTGAGTCCATCTGGATCCCAAGAACAACTCCGACACGAGAAACATCCAGTCCCTTCATCCAACCAAGTACCCGACCAACCACCCGCCCACTCGCCTGATCGTCTATCGACTCCGTGAAACTTTACAACCTCGACGCCGGCCTGCTGCTCGACCACCAGCTAGGTGTTATACCTTTGCGCTCCATTTGCAAACCCTACCATAAGGAAGAAACGAAGCCAGAGGTAGGCATCCCGCACCACCGTTCTTTGTCACCGAAATCACATCGGCTTGTTTGCGCCTATCCTACCGCATGTTGTTTAGACCCCTAGTTGGGCATGGGCGGGTAAACACCAGGGATCACATGGTGTCACCCCCTTTCCCGTCTCCTCATATATACCAACCCAGTCAACAATCACCTCTCTACCGGACTGTAGCTTGAGCCTCAATCAAGCCATCTTGTGGTTAACCCTTGACGTTGCAGACTATCTCGGCTCCCTTCGAATAACAAACCCCGCCGCATCTACGAACCTCCAAACGGTTATCTCCGTAATACCCCTACATTATCGCAACCATGGGCGGCGACGAGCTCAAGGAGAGCCTTTCCCCTGCTCCCAGGGAGAAGTTGGAAGGTGAGCTACCCATGATACGGGCCCTTCAACGGGGCTGTGCTGTCTACACCTGAAACTCGAACATTAGCTGACGAGGTGTTTGCGCTGGACAGCCCAGATCAAGAGTGCCGATATGGTAAACCGCAACCCTTTACGAACGATCACGCACGACAAACTGTGCCCGACAAGATGCTGACGTAGGCACACTTCTGATCTAGACCGAGGATATGCAGCAAGAGGCCGTTGAAGTTGGTACGTGCCATTACAACCACTGTCCAGGAACTTCAAGCGCAACCAAAGCTGACGAGACATCTTCCAGCCCAGGAGGCCATGGCCAAGTTCACCGTGGAGAAGGATATCGCACAACACATCAAGAAGACGGTACGACCATGTCAACCTTGCGCCACTACAATCCACAGACCAGGGCTGCGCTCAATCCTTGTGATGGGATCGCATGGCTAACGGAGGGTGTATAAACAGTTCGATGAGCGCAAGGGTCCAACATGGCATTGCATCGTAGGCCGTAACTTCGGCAGCTTCGTCACTCACGGTATGCAAGGCTCTTCCCTTGTCCACAGTCCAGTCTCTCTCTTCATCCTCCCTCTCACCCCATCCCTCCACGATTTGAGATGTCTGAGTGTCGCATCTGCGCCTGAAGTTGCAAAATACAAACGCGCAACCACCATGGTTGTCGTCCGAATTCGGGAGCTGGGGTAGATGGGTTACAGCACAATGCTGCATCTTTCTAGAGGCATATTCCGCTGACTTATACCTCTTCACTTTTATCACAGAGACCAAGCACTTCATCTACTTTTACCTCGGTCACTGCGCCATTCTTCTCTTCAAGACCCAGTAGGGGCGCGACCTCTTCCGCCGTTTTGTCTCCAGGTTGTAAAAGAAGAAAGAAAACAGAAAGAACGCAGCAGCAGCATCGTTATCAGCATCGTTTAATCGTTGCCGCAGTGGCAGCCTGAGTTTTGCCGGGTTCATGATCTTCGCCGCCATCTTTCTTGGTTTCTTTCTCTTGCTGCGATCTATTCTTTTTGAAAGCGAAAAGGAAATAAAACGGTGGGCGTCCCTTTAACCTAGAAGGCCATCACAGGACTAAAGGGGCGTTGACTGTCATGTCCAGAGGGGGGATTCATTACGAAAGTGGGCCATAACATTACATACCACACAACATTACCTATACCATACCCTATTACCCTACAAATAACTTTAAACAAATAATCGAAATACCTTTTATGATCAAAAGTTGAGGTAAATGCTGGAATGGGTTCCGTCAACAAGGGAAAATGCGAGCGTTTGTGCCTAGAGAATGGGAAATCTGACTGGCTACGTACTGAAGGCGTTTGGTCATATTCCATCGAAGCTTTCAGCTCATTCTAAAAGAAACAACAACGGAGGTTTGCTACCGTGAGATAGGCAGTCCTCTCTTAGTTAGAGAAGAACAGAGGAGTGTCTTTCCCGAGCAAAGGAAACTTTGCGAGTGTTTGCGACTAGACAAGGGAAATCTGGCTGACTATTGTATGCTGAGACCGAAGCCGTTTGGTCATGTGTGAAAGAAACCAACAACATAAGATCACCAGGTTGAAGCTTTCTGCATCATAATAAGGAATACGGGCATTTGTTTCTCTATTCGTAGAGCGTTAGTTGCCTCGCTTCTTCTCTCCTTCATTTGGCTGATCAAAGTGTCCTTCCTATGTAGGTACAACTGCGACAACGCAGCGCAATACCTATCTGTCTGTCCCGTCTGGATTGGTACCTTCCACAGCTAAGGTCACCATCAATGGCTCGCGCTCAAAACCACCATACCATCAGTCAAAGATGAGCAACGACGACTCTCATGAAACACACACACACTCTCTTTCCCTGCCTGCTTGGCCAGCATGATGGAACTTGATATGATCTGATTAAACGCCTGATTCCCTCCCCATCTTCGACCCTCATGTCAGTTCCCGTCCCGCCTCTTTCGCTTCCTCTTCATTTCATGCTCGTCTCGTGTAATGACCATCGCAAAAAAAGAACTCAAACTCCAGAAGACAAAAGCCACAAAATCCAGGACTGGGGAATGTAGACTTAAAATATCCATTCCACCTCAGATTGGTATCCAGGTCTACGTCTACCAGGAACAGCACGTAGGTAGTGTCGCCCAGTAGACGTGTTAGACCAAAAAAAAGCAGCTCAAGAAAGAACCAAAAAAAGAAAAAAAAAGAAGAAAAAACCAGAAGACACCGAGTTGAAAACAAAAGCCAAGCCCTGAAAAAGCAAACCCGCCTAGGCCCAACCATGGGGTATTTTTGAATGCGTGCGCCATGCCTTTGATGCTTCGTAAACTGGAGAGAGAGAAAGACGGCCTCTGAATCCTGCTTCTTCCGATTTTCCGACAACTGCCAGAAGGACCGTATGTAGGCCATGAACCGGGGAACAAGGTAGAGGAAAAAAAGAAAAGAGAAAAAAGACCAAAAGCAAAAACAAATGCCATCATGATATACCCTTTTCAATTGCTGTTCCATAAGTCATGTCGAACCTCTGCCACTTCTTGCGAATCCTGTCAACGGGCTCCTGGAGAGAAACCAAACGCCAAAGTGTTGTCTTCCATGCCATGAAAACTTCTCTAATGTGCCGACGCCTTGGCAATATTATGTGATGAGTTGCGCCCGTACTCCTCTGTAGATCGTTCGTCTTTATCTTCTTGCAAGTCCTTCCCCGCCTCTTTCTGTTCGTGGTCTTCATGAGGCTCCTAGTCATTCCCAAACGTGGCAGCGCTGTAGATTTCCTTCTTCTCAAGCTGAAGTCGAGCGTGCAGTCGCATAAGACTATCCACCTTATCTGGTGAAGGGTCTTCCGCACTACTGACCTCGCGGTGCAATGCCTCGTACCGGGTATATGCGCGCTTGAACTTTTCGGCCCTGCTGAGGAGATCCGGGTCGAGGCATGGGCGCTTAGAGCCGATATTGCCGGATGCGTAGTCGGACGGCGCAGGACGTTTCTTACTTCTGGATCCAACATCTTCATTGACGCTACCGGCATTGCTGCTTGCGCTGCTAACGATAACCTCACGGTCACGCTCGCGCTCACGCTCACGTTTCTGAGGCCTTGATACGATGGTCCGGCGATCTTCCTCGTTATCCGACGCATTGGTAGGCGGAGATGAGGCCAACGGCGAGGATTTCTGGGGACTGGCATATTTATTGCCCTTTGAAAGTGTGCTGCCAGACTTGCCCACGGCGTCAGGTCGTACTTTGGGTTTGGCCACCGGCTTGACACGTTGGCTAAGCGGAGTACCGGAGCTGGAGCTGTCGTCGTCCTCTGGATCCCGCGGGCGTTTTGACACCATCGGCTTGGTCGTTCTGGGGATGGGTTGAGCCCGAATTGTATCCCTGGTCTCCTCGACCTTCTTTTTCGCAACAGCCCTGACCGGAGCGGCCTTTGGCTTCTGGTTAGTCTTTGGGCTTGGAACCTCAATCGATTTTGCTGCTGTCTTGGACTTCTCCACGGGAGGACCAGACTTTTTGGGACCAGGCGCAGGCGCAGCAGTTCCTTGAGTCCTTCCTATGCTCTTCGAAAGGGGCACTTCGTCCTCGTCCGAATCAGAATCCGTGATAATCTCCTTGGAAAGAATACGCCCCCCCTTAGCAGCAGGCCCCTTTGACCCAGCGACCTTTGTAGGAGCCACCTTTGGTGATGCTACCCTAGGCGACGCCACCTTTGAAGCTGCTGCCTTGGCAGCACTCGGCCTCCCTGTCTTTTTGGCATTTGCGCTTGCCGTGGCAATACGCTTGGCCTGCGCAACCGAAGCCGACACTTTCTTCTTAGTGACGCCTGTCTGAGAGTTGGACCGCGACATCGGCTCTCCCTTCTCTGTCTCTGCGCCGCTGGGGCTGGCAGTGCCTGTGATTCGGTTCGGGGTCGGAGCTGATTGAATGTTCTTGGCGATAGTGGCATGAAGCTTGCTGAGACAGATCCCCTTTCCACGCTCTCCCTTCGGAAGCAGCTTCTGCCACAGCGGATCCGAGACACCCAACCGCATGCGATCATACTGTTTGATAGCGTTGTCGATGGCTTTTTGGCGGTCTTCGTCCGTGGCGTAGGCATATTCAAAAACATCCAGCTCTTTCCAGTACATTTTCTTGAGATCCCATTTTTGGAGATCCGAGTTGAAGTCAGCCACCTTGTTGAGAATTGGGTGAAACTCTTGCTCATCGCCGTCGTATTTTGCGAGAAGTTCTTCGAATGTCAGGGGTTGGGCTGCAAGCTCGTGGATAATGGGAAATTTCTGTTGTTTCAGTCGGTCACCAGGGCCGTTGCTGGTAGGACCCAGAGAAGGTGAACCAAGCCCACTCAACGCAGGGCTGACAGAAATCGACCGAGACGCGCCATTGGTCTGTGGCCCCAGGAGTCTCGCCTTGCCAGGGTTGATTTTGGCACCCTTTTTGGAAGGTAGTCCCTCGACGATCAAAGCGCTGCAGAACATGTTAGTCACAGGCTCACGAGTAGTTCACCTCGGGAACACGTACGAATTCTCTCGCTTATCGGCCTCAACCTTGGCGAAGGAATTCTTCAGATTCTCGACTGCCCCTTCAATGCTGTTGGAAGGTTTGGCGGTTTGAGCCGCCTTGCGGGCCTTGGCCCTCTTGTAGTAGTCGAAGATTGACATGACTGGTCCCAAGACTCGTTGACCTCTTGTTGGCTTGTTGGGGTTGGTGTAGAACAACTCGTAGTCCACTGGTTCCGTTAGAAGGTCGGGCTGGAGAGGTACTTCCTGATCTTCAATGAGGATTGCCTGGAGCGAAACAGTTAACGGTGAGTGAGGAAAGAGAAAAAGAGGGGAGGAGAGTTGGCAGACAAGGCGCGGGGTAGGAAGGCAGCACAACAATAGAACTGAACATCTATTGAGTAGTGAACATGTTCTGAGTTTTGGGTGGAGACCCAGGTGCTATTGAGTGGCAGGTACAATAGCAATGGTCCATGCATCTGTTCTGAACAAGCTGAGGGCAAGGTGACAAGAGTCTCAACAAACTTACCGGATCGTCATTCAGTGCCAACTGGATCTTGCCCCCATTCTGTGCGCTCTCAATCATCTGCGCAACGAGTTCGGCGGATAAGGGCACCGCGAATGCGTGCGTCGGCCGCCGAGCCGCCATTTCGGTCGGACCCTCAAGAAGAAGGCCATTGTCGGGTATTGTCAGCGACATCTTGGGCAGATTCACTCAATCACTAATCCGCGTCTGCCAAAATCCCTCCTCTTGTCTTTCCTTTCCCTAGAGGCTCTCTCCTCCTTCGCCACTCCTATGTGTACGACACGATACTGGATACGGCGGGGTTCCCGTGCTGGAGCGGTGGCTCGAGGTCTTGTGCGAAAAGTGACAATTGTCCAGCGCCGAAACTTGTAACGGATCTTTACGGATCGCCGAGTGTCGTATGGTACGGTATAGTTGTATACTCAGTGCGCGGATGGGTACGGTGTTGGGCGTCGCTTCATCGTCCTCGCGTGGACTCGCTGGGCTTGTGACCAGGGACGGTCGATCGGATCGTCGTCGGATGTGGTAAGATGCGACTTGAACAGGCACTTGGGTGTTAGACTTGGTTTTGGAAAAGCTGATAGGCGAGAGCAAGGGGAGATTCAACGTCAACGGGCCCGGAAGTCGCAAGGAAGAGTAGGCAGACGGTGAGGGTGCCGTGCTTCTCGGAAGAAAAGGGCGGCGTGAGGGGAATGACAACAGCGAACCTTCAAGGCTAACACAAGCGAGAACGGGGCGGAAGCCGTACCGAAGTCGGATTACCTAGTGACAAGGCGCACACAAGAGAGGCAGAGGCGAGGCACCCAAGAATGACAGCAACTGGCCCTGGACGGCGGCATCAGATGACGAGAGGCAGACGAGAGGACGAGAGGAGGACGGAGTGACTAAGGCACAACGCAACGTCGAAGAGAACCTGGACGACAAGAACGTGAACCCGGAAGAGGAAGGGCGGAGGTCAAGAACGGGAAGTCAGGTTGGGAGTGGAAGCGAAGTGGTGAGAGTGGAGAGTGGAGGTGGTTGCAGGAGGATGATCCACCCCGTTCCCAAAGGGTACCTCTGGTGTGGAATACAGCCCGGGTTACTGTGGTACACTTTTGGTGTACAGGTGCTGAGAGGTGGTACGGGGGCGTCCGGGGAGCACGGGGTGCACGGGGTACCTCGATGGATCTGCTATGATCGAAAGGATGGAACGGATGGGGACGAAACGAAGTGGAAGCAACTATCTAAAAGGCAGGAACCACGCTAACCTGGGATTTCCCTCCATCAATGGTGTGGGCGGTACTTTCCCTTCTGGGCTGGCAGGCTGAGAATACCTTACCGTCTCTAGCCTAACCGCAGCGCTTGCGACATCGATCCGCTACACCACCTCATCCGCCCTTTGTTGTCCAGTCTTGACCAGGGCCGCGGCTCTCACAACGCCCCTCCATTTTCACCCTAACCCCGGGCCTCTTGCGGTTGAGTGTGGTTTGGTTCTTTTTTGCTGCAGCAACTTGGGTTTGCTGCCAATCTGCTGCTAATGGCGCAAACTAGGGGGCAGGCAAAAGCAGACTGTGAGTGGAATTGGTATTGAACGACCCCTGGTGATGTGGTCTGAGGTAAGGCGGTATCGCCAGGTACACGGTGGGCCGCCCCGTTCAATCCTTACTGTCCAGCCACGAGCCAGCTCAGGGCACCGCCGGGCAGCACACCTACACAACAATGAAGCTGGCGATGCGCGAGGTGGGGCACAGCACTTGGCTGATGGCTCACTCACCCAGTCACCCTCCCGCTGTTCTGGGCAACGAACGGGCACCTCTCCCGCACCTCAGCACCTCCTCTGATCCCATCACTTCCATTCTGTCTGACTTTTCCACTTTTGTTGCGCAAAGTTCCATTTTGTTCAAGGCTTCAAGCCATTCACAAAGAGAGAGAGAGTCACTCACCAGGGCACTCTTGGCCAGGTGCCATCTCGTGTCCGACAGGGGACAGGGGTTGCGGGTGAGCAGCAACTTGCATGCGCCAGAGCAGCTCAAAGCCCGGCATCATGCCCGCATTTGCGAATCTGCGAATCGACACAGGAAACGACAAAAAGGAACAGCGGTGTTCTTCATCTTGGATTTTCGCCTGGCGCTGTTCTGTTTCGTTGACTTGCTTTCTCTGTTTTGAGTAGTATTGGGTATATATGTTACGGTAGGTTGCGGAGTACAAAGGTCGGTATATACCGGGCCTGTATTGAAGGGTACAACGATGGAAACGAAGACAATGGTTGCACCAAAGTACGTGCGTACCTTTTGAGTCTTGGGGCCTCCCAATTGAGGGACCTTTGACGTGGGCTTGTGTTTTCCATCTCCAGTTTGGACTTGCGAATGCTACCCAACCGTCGTCCACGCTTACGTTCGATGGATGTCCTGATCGCTCTTCCGTTGTACATACGGGAATACGGATAGGTATCGCTTCCTCCGCTGATCTTTCTCCATGTTAACGCAAGCCCTCACACGTTAATTCTGGGTTTGAAGACCCTTAAGGGACACCAACGATGATCAAATGAACAGCAGCTTAGAGTTGGTAAGTCGCCGGCGAGAATCAAAAAAGACATCCGGACGCCGGCGTGCCTTCGCCTGTCTGAGTCACAAAGCAGCGGCTTGGTATGCCGGTTCTACATGCCCGTACCTCACTCCGTACATCTGCTAGGTAAGCTTGGTCTGACTGTCAACCTTCGATCCTACGATGTAAGTATATACCTCTTTGCTCCAACGCAAGATGCGGACACAAAGCATGGCGGATGTCCTGCCTGAAATAGTACCTGCCCGCCGTACTGTGACAGTCTTTAAAACTGTGTACATCGCTTGTGGCTCTGGAATTGCCCGGCCGCCAAGTTTCATCGTCGGCTTTGTGTTTATCTCGCCAAGTTCCAGAGGGCCCAGCCAACTGTCAAACTTGGGTGGAAATTGGCGAAACCCCTTTGCAATTATATGCCACAAATATGGCGAATAATATCTATAGTAAGGGTGTTTCCTGAGAATCCGATGCCAGATTATAGCCCAGCTTCTTTATGATCCCCGCCTCGACCCCCTCTTCTTCATGCTTCATTCATGCCGACGAAGAGCATCTCGCTGGGTGGTGGAGTACCTCTACCGCATCCTCTCATTCAAGTCAGATTTATCCTTCCCACATACGGTCTAGTAGATCGGGGAAAGGACCTGCATGCCGGAGCGCCAACGTAGCAGATGGGGCTGACAGACTTAGCGAGACCACTCAAGACGACTGGCAAGTTCCAGCATGCGGGTGACTCGCAGCGGATGGCAGGACAGCACAGCTCCTAAACTTGAGTAGGACTAGTGGGACAAGGGGGGGATAAATCCGACTTGAATGAGAGGATGCGGTACCACAGCGAACTTCCACTTCCCTTCATCACAAGGCCCGGAACCCCAGCCGGGGCAATCCCGCTCTCGGGGCAATCCGCTCCTAGCGATGAAAATCACCGTCCATTCACACACACAATAAGGGCCTGATCGGCTCGCGTGCACGCGTCGTATGCCTCGAAGTCTATTGGAGTTATACACCGCTAAAACCCCCTTAAAACTTCCTTACTATGTGACTTTACTACGTTTAATATAACTAAATAGAATCGTTATAGAGATTGTTAAAGTCTATTAAAATCTATTACGTTGTATAAAAATCTACTTCGTACCTCTATAATAATTATATAGGAGTGCGTAAACGAAGTAAGGCGATACCTTATAAAATATAGTAACCCTCTAGCGCTATCCTAAAATAGTATAAATAATTCTATTTACAGAATCTACTACCCTATCTAACAAATTTGCAACGTAGTAATCTTCTAAAGACTATTACATATACTTTTTAATTAGAAAATACTAGAAAGTAAGTAATTTAGGCTATATCTATAGTATTAGGCATCCTTATTATATTCTTAACCATAAGGTTAATATAACTACGTAATATACTACCGCCTGCGTATACCGTTTGTATTAGAAGCTATACTGCTATCTAATAATAATATTTTATATAGGAATTAAAGTAACAAAACCGACTACATTAATATACATTAGCCGCTATACTTAAAAACGAAGAATATAATACTTATATAGAAAAAGGAGAAGAGGGGGATAAGGCAATAGAAATATATAGAAGGAAAATCTTACTAGTCTTTACTACCTAGGTTATTGCTACCGTCACTACAATAATAGGAGGGAGGTATGACAATAACCCTAAAGTTATTAACGAAGGTAGCCTAAAGGCTAATTAACGTTTTGCCTAATATTTATTAAAAGGGTACGAGAGGAGCTTCTTCGAACTCTTTCGAATAATTAAAATTAAATTTATTAATTCAACGGGGTAAATACGTAAAAAGGGTAATATATATAATATTAAATATTAATCGGTTAAATTTAAATTAATAATCTTTTTATAAATCGTTGCATTTAATAAACTTTAACGATAGGCCGCTTATTACTTTATAATAGCGTAATTAATAATATCGAATATTATTTCGAAACTATTTATTAACCTTTGTTATATTCTATAATGAATTCGTTGTACAACTAAATAATAATTTCGTATCGCCAGAAATCGAATTCAATATTAAAGGAAATTGATTTTTAGGTAGGGTAATCGGTACTATCGATAATACCTATATTTATACGAAGGTACTAAAAAAAAAACCAAATAAAATAGCGTAACCAAAAGGGATTTATTTCTTAGAAGGTATTTACTACTATTCGATTTAATAATTCCTTTTTATACGTATTCGCTAGCGTAGAAAGGTTAATACAAAATTCGAAATTACTTCGTATTATATTACTCTACAATTTCAAAATACCCCCCAAACGATTTTACCTAGCCGACGTAGGTTTTAACTAGTAAGAGGGAATCCTAATTTCGTTTTCTAATATACAATACTATTTCTAAAATTAGAAGGAAGCCTTCGGGGATAAAAAATCCAAGATAAAGAAGGATTTATATAATCTAAAGGATAGTAAAAATTGTATATTAATCGAATAAATATTTAATTAATTCAAAAGGATATCGAAATTAATACGAGAGTCAGCGCTAGAATACCCTATTAATATTTAAATCGATTTTATATACGCGGTTACGGATCTATATAATTTTATTTATTATTAACGATATAAACGAATTAATAAGGGAGAAGAAGAATTTATTAGGATTTTAGAATTAACAAAGAGACGAATAAATAATAATTTTATAGAGGATCCTATTGTAATACGTATTAATATTATATATATTGCTTAAATTAATTAGTAGCGATATTTAGCGAAAAAGTAAGAAAGGTAAAAGAGGGGGAGAAAAGGGGAGAAAATATAAAAGAGGGTAAATTTAAATTAATCTATTAATAATTAAATTTGAATAAAATACTAATTCTAATACTTTTAAATTTAAAAATTTAAAAATAAAACGGCTATAAGTACAAATACTATAGAGCGCTAAAATTACAAAAGGGATACGAATTTAATTGCCCTACTAAAATGGGAATTAAAGGACGCTAACATTTTTTAACCAATATAATACGCTACATTTAAAATATATAGACTATATATATTTATAAATAATCTAGGGAAATAGCTCCTATAGACCCTAATTGTATATTGAATAATAATTAACGTATTAAAATCCGACTTTTTAAATTTAATAAAATGTTTAGGATTTTATAATTTTTAAATAGAAATAAATAACCCCCTCTACTCTATTCTATTCTATTCGTCCTTATTACTACTCCGCGCCCTTCTTTCTTTCTTCTTTTCCTCTCTTACCGCCTTTATTAACCGCTTTAATTTTACGGGTTTAAATTTATTATTTATTGCGTTCTATAAAATAGCCTCCTCCTTCGATAATTTTTAAGATATATTTAGAACTATCTCTAGCGAGAAATCCTTCGTAAAGTTATATTAAAAGTCCCTAACTGCTATTTTAATATCGACCGCGCCGACAAATTTCGCATTATTAATCGATTTAATTACTTCGCTAATAAACTTTATAATAAAGGTATTATTTTACCTAACGGATATTTTTTTAATTAATTATATTGTATTAAAATAAGATAGTAAGGGGAAATCCTCTTCGTTACCTTCCGCCTCGCTATTATTACTTTTATTACTCTAGAAATTAGGGTCTTCAATACATTACTTTTTAACGCGCTTAATTATTCGCTTTTTTCGCGCCTTTTTATTACGAACTACCTTTTTCTCCTTAGCAGTTAAACCGCGTCTATTCTAATTAGTAATAAGTAAATCTCTTTTACTTCCCTTATTTATAAATATTTTTACTAACCGGACGTAAAACCTAATTGCTCTCTTATTAACGAAAATCTCTATTAAAAAATCGTACCTATTATTACTAATAAGTACGTAATAACTATGCCTCATCCAAGTACCCTTAGTATTATTAAATTCTTTAATAAAAAACTCCTAATAATTAGTAGAATACTTTACCCTATTACTTTTATAATTAAAGGTAGTATTAATATAGCCCTCTACTATCTGTTTTACGTACTTAATATATATTTTAAGCTGCTAGAACGCGTTTTAATATATTTCCTAAAGAATTACCCTATCCTCCTCCTCCTAATGCTTTTATACCTATAAAGTGAATTTATCTACCTACTTCTCGTATTTATTATATAAGAATCCTTTACCTATCTTTTAAATCCTTATAAACCCCTTCCTATAAGATACTTTAGTTAATTTAATAAATTTATAGTAAGTTTCTATAAACTAATTATACATTGAATTCTATTTCTTTTAATTAACTACTAGTATTCCTAATTTGGTATTAGATATTCGAAACCACTTACATATTTTATATACGGTTTCTACCGCATTATCATTATTATCATCGTCGAAGGTAATAGGCTTCAATAATATACTAAGCGGGTTAACAGTATCAAAAGATTTAATAGCATTAGAAAATATAAGACTACCAGGGAAATCGTACTCTATATAATCGTTAATAACCTCCTATATAGTACGTAAAAAGGACGATAAATAAAGTATAAACTCTAGTATGGTTATAACGTATATATATATTATAATAATAATTATAATTATTATAAGAAGAGGCACGCTGGTACTAGCAATACTGATAAATAATACGAATTATAATTAGGAATCCCTATATTACTAAATGTAACGGGGACAGCACAGTTAACATAGGTACTAGTCGTATAGTTTAATTAAGGTTCTATAAAGAAGGAAAATTCTATCCAAGAAGCGGCTCTACCGGAGATGCGAGGTTTTAATGGGGGCTATACAGACATAGCCACGGCGCCTTATAATAGCTCTAGTCGATAACCAGAACGCTACAGCCTGGGCCTTAGCCCCATGACACTAAGAATATTATTAGGAATACTTATACTACTAGGTTCTATATTAGGGGTTATATTAGAAATTCCTATATATAAGGCTTTATATTACTACGGCGGCTAGTAATAATTGTCATGGTGGTGGCAGACCACTACACTAACTAGCCCGTGTCCCCGCAAAAGGGTACAAGTAACCGAAGCTGGCAATTCGGTCGCTCAAGTGGTCTTATATAGTTGTAATGACAGATGCATCCCACAAATGCCATCACAATAATATTATTAGGAGTATTAAGAAGGCTTATACTAAGAGCTATACTAACTATACTACTCAGCGGGTTACTAACTCTAATTTGGATACTAATTTATCGTCGTTATCGTCGTCGTCGTTAATATTGATATACAGCAGTTTACATTATAGTGGTCAAAAGTAGAGCC